GCAGTAAAAAACCTGGATATAAAATATTTTTTTTCCTTTTTTTTGTTAAAATGGTGTGAAGAAATAAACAAAAACAGCACATCCAGTTTCATTCTACCACATATCTAGTACAGGATATGAATTAATGTTGAGATAGCTAGTGGAACTAAGTGAAAAAGAGAGGGGAGGTACCCGTGGTACCTGCCACAAGTACCGCCGGTACCTGCCAGGAGGTGCCTGATGTGGTACATGGTATCTATTTTCTTGAAAAAATGAACAGGTACCCAGGTCCAAACAAACAATCTCTACTGTAGCATGGTAAATTATTTCTCTGATATTTCTGGTACTACTCTCAGCTAAATTTGTTTGCTTCAAAATATTTTGCCTTCATTATAAATATTGAAATTATCAAAAAACTTTGACAAAACTGGAATGAAAGAACTCTTGGAAGTTTTAAATTCAGAAATTGAAAGTCCAATTTGAATTCCTCAATTGATGGGAAGTCCCTCCATATAATTCAAATGTCTAAAAAGATCCCCATGGTGAGGAGCAGCTGGAAGCTATTGGTGAGTTGGGGAAATATAGTTGAAAAATGTTTTCAAGGTACACTTCTCATTTTCAGTCCATCAAATATCCAGTGACAGATCTTTAGACATCAAAGCAAATCACATGCAGTACATATTTGTGAGATTGGCAAATACATTGACCTCAGAGGAGGATTCAAATTGACAGTAAAAAAGCATGTCCAATACTCATTATTTCTTTATTTTTTGACAAATTTCTTAGGACCTTCACTGGAGAACAACTGTGGTCTCTTTGCGCTAATTTATACCTTGCATCACAAACCGCATTTCCCGCACTATCAGCAGTCGGATGAGTAATCTCAAAGGACTATTGGAATAGCTAGTGGCAGTGCAGTACTAGTGTGGATGCATGGAGGTAGATGTTTGTCAGACTTTTTTACCTACAAGGGTAATAGATTTCAGAAGAAGACGTGTGCCTCTTATCTCTTTTTTTTCTCTGCAAATTGGTAGGTACCTCTCGCAGTATCCTCATTGATGTAGCGACGGTGAAGATGTCTTCAAAATTAAAGACTTAGTATAATAGAGAATCCCCTTCGAAAAGAAAGCCACCTATGTCCAAGGTAAGTTCTAACGAACATGTATCTGGAAGAATAGCATGATTTGAGCTTTCACTCAAAGTGGTTATAGGACGCAAGAAAAATTTCTGAAGGAAAAGTATATAATTTTCAGAAGGAACAACAACATGTTCGAAGGAATGATGATGATAAAAATACAAAAGGTTTCCTGTGATAATTTGCAGTACATTAAATATCTAAAACAAGTATGAAAGGAGGAGATAGAAAAGAACAGCATATGAAAGGCCAATAAAGATGAGGAAAACACGAGACTCGGGGCGAGGAAGTTGGCCCTGTGCATCAGGGTGCGGGGTGCCAGGAGTGCCAAGATTCTTCATCGGAGCACCGACAGCGTTGTTGCGCAAGTAGGGAAGCCGGGGGTGCTTGACAGTAACGGGGTAGCCAAGATCCCTCTGAACAATTTCTCGCAGGGTGGCCAGTTTTGACTTGGTGTCCACAAACAGAGCCATCTCTGACTCTCTTTGGATAACTTGGCGGTAGAGATCGTTCTTCATGGCGCATCGGTGCTTGTCGATCAATTCTACAAAGATGCAATCGGGGGGTTGGTGATGTTAGGATATCGCTATAGCTTTTAAAGAAAGATTTTCCTTGCGCAGGATTGCTACTCACCAAGCGCTTGAATCGCTTCAGGTCCAAGAGATTCCGCCATTGGTAGAGTTTTTTGCCAAGGGCTTTATCTTGGTTCGGAAATTTAAAGATTAAGGAGTGTAAGCTGTTAGTTTAGAAGGAGATCTAGACTCCTGTAAACATCTCTTACTTCCAGTCTGGGGTTGAGAAGGAAGGGGGGAGGTGGGGGAGGAGGAAAAGTGTGGAGAAACACTTGGATGATGAGTGAGAAACAGCGACGAGGGAAAAGAAGTGCTGCTATTTATAATGCTGGCATTTGGCGCTGAGCCTGGCTGCTGATTGCTGCTTTCCATTTGCCAAAGCTGCCCCCTTGTTCACAATTACTGATGAAAGGTGTTGCAAATGTTGAGACCAAATCAGATGAGCGAGCTTCTTACTTCTGAAAGGGGCGCGCTGCTACCGTTGAGACTTGGCAAGAAATCACGCCATCAATTGAGACTGAGCCTCAATACTATGTTGCTGCTTCCCTTTGTGAACGAAGATTACCTACTCGTTTACTACTGTTACTGAACAGGATAGTCTTCAACTTCTTAGACTCCAAAAAGCACTCAGCACCACACCATCCGGTGAAGCAGATGAGAAATTTGGTTGAGGAGAAATCCAGTTGAGCAGAATGCGAAGCGGAAGGTTTTCATTGAAATTTCGCTTGAATGTAATCAGATTGTTACCCCCAAATTGCAATTGACTTGTGCAGACCTAGTCTTTGAAACCCGGCTTTGAGCTCTCGATTGTAAGCGTGTCTGGCCGAGGTTTAGCAGTTGTATCATCAGTGCAGAATTTGCTACTCATTCAATAGATAACCTGATGTAGCACCAACTTTCTTGTGAAGGGCACGTCTCCTCAAGCAAAGCCTGACTAGAACATTTTTATTATCAATAGAAGGTCATGTCCCAACCGCTTTGAGGGTCACTAGCCTTCGGAAGAACTGCGGGATATGTCTTTTCGCGTAAAACGCAAGATGCGATACCAGATATAGCAACTTCAAAGTATCCATTTGTAACAAACACTTAATTGAGTTGTTTAAAAACTGGATTTCTGTCCAAGGAGGGATCATAAGGCATACCGCATACTACAAGTTTTCTCAGAGACTTACAAGCAATCAAATCTAGGTTGCAAATATAACAAAGAAGAGAAGTGCAAGTAATAGGCAAAAGAAGAAAAGCAAAAGGAGAGGCTTCTCGCGGAGACCAAGTTGCCCTTGTGCATCCCAGCGGGGGGTGGGAGGAGTGCCGAGGTTTTGAATGGGGCCACCGATGTCTGTGTCAAGCAAGTACCAAAGCCTGGGGTGCTTGACAGTAACTTGGAAGCCACGGTCCTTTGCAATCATTTGCTTCAAGCAGTTCACTTTGGAGTAGGTGTCCACGTAGCGAGCTTTATTTGACTCTCGCTTAAGGGCTTGGCGGTAGTACCTGTCCTTACAGGCGCGCTTGTGCTGGTCAAGCACATCTTGAAATAAAGGAATAAGTGGGATGAGACTGTTAGAAAACTTTGAGTCAGAAATCATCTTGGAAGAGAACTGGAACTCACCAAGCGCTTGCATCGCTTCGGGTCCCATATTGTCTTCCATAATTAGTTTTTGAAGTGACTTGGTTTGTTGGCTAATGAAATGATTCGAGAGGAAAGTTTGTTAGATACAAAGAAAATCTTGCTGTGGTGTGGAGGAGGAAAGAGGAAGCTACTATAAATGTTTCTTACCTTGAAGTCTAGGGTCAAGTAGAGGGGAGGAGGGGTGGGAGGAAGCGTGTGCCAAGATATTTGGATGGTTGATGAGTAGTATACAGCAGTCAAGGGAAAGAAAAGCTCTTATTTATATTGTAGGCATTTCACGCCGAGCCTAGCAGCAGCTTACTGCTTTCTGTTTGCCGAAGCTGACCCCCTTGTTTACTATCACTGATGAAAGGGAAGTGCTGCTAATGCTGAGACTCAATCCAACTTGCAGAAGGGCTCATTACTTCTGAAAGGGACGCGCTGCCACCGGTAATTAGATTCTTGCGAAGTTAACTGAGCCTGAGCCTACCAGTTGCTTTCCTTTGCAAGATTACTGCTGAACTGGGAAAGATGAAACTGCTGAGACTCGCAGAGGCTCTCCACACCACACCATCGTATGAAGAGGTTTAGCTAAGCCTCAAGAATAAATTGGATATACTAGAGGGCAATCAGGGGAATTGGAGTGAACTGATCAGTCAACTCGTCAGTTACCATTTTCTTGAAACGCTAATCAAAAGTTCGAAGCCGGAACCCAAAGACCAGATTTGAGTAAATTGATGGCGGTTCAGAGATGCAAATCTGATCAAAATATTGGTAGTGGTACCAATGGCTACTTTCTGCTTCACACTCTTGAGCTTGTCACTTCTCCAGTGTAAGAAGCACGAGAAAACATCGGAACAAAAATGATCAATTCAGTGCCCAGAAGTTGAACTGAGATTTCCAACGTAAGCCATCTTGTTATTCGATCAGGTATCACGACAGACCAACACAAAAATGACTCTGCGCCTTACTATTTTGTCTACATGAACTAATCACTACAGGCGCGTCAAGCAACTCAACACTTACCAACTTCATAATCAGAGCGCACCCGTCCTTCCTTCCATCAACTCCGCGGAACCTGCTGAAGCAACACTTGCACCCAGCTCCTCTGCTGTGGCCTTGATACTAACGCGGGACACTGGGCTGTCTAGCCAACAGGTTTAACATGACGCGAAGATATCTGAACCTGGTTAGCACGTCTTTGAGATTTGATTCTTGAGAAATTAATTGCTGAACTGCTATTTTTTTTTTACTTCAGCTTTCACTTTGGCTGAAGAATCTGTCCCAGAACATGAGAGATCCACTAAACCTCTAGCCGCAGACGCTGGAGGTAGCTCCTCACCTTGCAGACGTGTCCCCCGCTGTTGAAGCAGAGGGATCCTCAACTTTGGTATCAGAAGCCCCAACGAGCCATTATTGGCCTCGATTCCATCCGAGCAGCTACCCATTGACTGACCTTGGAACACGGGGAAAGTTCTCACAGAAACCGCCACCACTATCGAAAACGTTAAACCAGCTACACTTAGATTCAAAAATTCAATTACTCGCAAGTGGCGTCCGGTTCATGATCTTGCTGACCTCAAAGAAGCAGTGGCCACACCCATTGGTAAGTGAGGCTTGAAACACGGCTGAGATGCACAAGGTTCTGACTTGTGCTATGTTCTCTTTTATAGTTGCAGAGGACACCGTCCCAGTTACGCCCTCCCCCATGCAAGTTGACGGCGTTGCCGCTGATGTCGAACCCACCAGACATGAGACCACACCCGCCGTGAAGGAAGTCAAACCGAAGAAAAAGCGGTTCATGATGTCCCCCTTGAAGAAGAGCTTTTCTCCCAACAACTCTCAAGACGGTAACAGCACCGACGACTCCGCCCATGCCAAGCCCAAGAAAAACCAGCCCCTTGCAGGCAGGTTCAAACACGTCCTCTGCCAAGTCAAATCCAAAGGTAAGCTCTCTTTTTGATCTAGTAGGCTCGAGAAATTCACTCTCACTTACCTTGGAGACGGGTTGTTCTTTCTTCACAGCCGAAAAAGGCATAGATTCAGACAAATCTGCTGCTGCAAACACCAGTGACAATGCTGCTCCTACCAGGTGAAAATGAGTCAATGACACCTCCGGCGGCGCCCCTTGAAGACCTCACCGTAAGTTGCGTTGCATTACCCATGGATGCCGCTCTTCCCAATGACAACGCTGTCACTGCTTGAAAATCTAGTCGCGCTGCGATAGTGTCTTCCCCTTTGACTTGTATATAACTACAGTAAAACTACATTCACATGAAGAGCTTTGCTCCACTAAGTATTTAATGCCCTCAGAATAATTTAGTTGAAGTGTTTCTTTATTCTTTGACCTTCTCTACCCCTCTACCTCCCCTAGATATTTCTTAAAATCGCTCCCATAGTTATTACTATCCTTCCCTCCTTCCATTGACTACAAACTCACTGCAAAAATGAAATCATACTATCAGTCCTAACCTGCACCCCTCTCTTCAGCTTGTGCTACCACTTCCATGGAAACATTGCAGGAAAAAAATGTAGCTTGTTACCTGAGACGGATTTTTTGAGATGCTCCTCCCGGGAATTTGACGGTCACAAGGTTGACAAGATGGCACAGAGTTAGCTAGGAATATTTACTTGCCGCAGAGTTTGTGTAACTGTTGCCATTTTTTTGTTGGCACGGACTCAGAGAGAAACAGAACTATCCCTAAGATCTGTCCTCCTCAACCAGTTAAACCATAAAAGGGAATAACTGCGCTGTGTGAAATACTGATGTCAATCCAACCCACCACAGCAGTAGTAGTACCCTCAAGCCCCCCAAAAAATACTTAAATTGATTTAATTCCTGGTGATTTATTTTTTTTTCAATGGTAATTCCCTAGAATGGAAATGTCACAGTGAGTAGTTTTTTGTACAGACTTATCAAAATTTGTACTCTATAACTGAACAAACTAGATTAAATTTTATCTGTTGAATGTAATAACATGATTCCTTCATCACAAAGCAGATTCAGAATAAGAAACCAGAATACCTACAAATGATCTGAGTAATTTGGGAGCTGAAAACATCCACAAGCCCTGGAATTTTTCTGATTTTTCTGATTTTTCTGATTTTTTTTTTGGGTCTGATTGATTTTTCTCTTATTTCTTTTTCCTTGTGAAATTTCTTGAACTCCAATAGTATTTGAGCTCTTTCACCTCCTCAGGTAAGCTTTTCCATCAAGAAAATCTCATTAAATCATCTTTGACTTAATCTATTGGAGTTAGAGTATCATACAAACCTTCAACAATTAACATTTTCAAATCACTTCCAATTGTTTGAGTTACTTCCAATTTTGCTCCATTTTGGAATGATACTCATTTGAAAATTTCTTATAATCCTCTATTCTCTCCCTTACAAAAAAATTTACAACAATTTCAATATAATTTTCCAAAAAAGCTCAAGAAAACTTGAAAAGGATTAACTAAGAATGTTTACAATAGTTCTTTGATATATCCCAATTTTGACCTACATAATATCTGCAGCCTACCCATTCCAATTAGTAAAAGGTTTGATTTGATTTTTGTATTTTTTATATCCTTTGATTTTTTTTTTTTTGATATTATTATTTGAGCTGATTGATTTTGAGTTCTAAGCACCTGGTCTTTTCTGACACATGATCATATTGACTTGAATTCTTCTGCATATGTTGATGGTTTGTGCCATTATTCTTTGTCTTTTTTCTTGACTTGAGCTTCAAATTTTTTGGTTTAATCAGATGATCTTCATTTCTACTAGGCTGCTTCTTGCATGCCAAAAATGTTTTGATGACCCAAGACAAGTCATGAACATATTTAGATGTAAGTATGCATGCGGCTCTGGTTGTGCGCGGGTTAGATTTTTCCGGCGTTTTGTGTTTTTTTTTTTCTGGGGAAAAGTCAGCGGTGATTACATCAGCCGAGGGAAAGTCGAATGGCCAATGCGAATGAGCCAATGGTCAACAAGGGAGGTTCACCCAGCTCTTGACCAACCATCAACACATTTTTAGGATACACTCACCAAAGACGAACGAGGCAACGAAGAACGGAAAACAAGAACGATGTCAACGTAAGAATCTGATCATGACCCCTATCCTATGAATGACATGTTGGTTTAGAACTGACCTGCTTCTTTCACTTATCTTCCAACTCACCAGATTGACAATCGGTACTAACCTCAAACTGGAAGCTTCTACCTCTCAAAGGCCATTCTTCGAGCCCATCAAAAACACCCATTCTGCAAGGTTGGCCCGATTGCCAATTCTTAAGTTTCATTGCAGAAGATCACCTAACTGTGACTGATGTCAAAATCCCTCTGAACCCTCCACAGAAGTTCTATTTCTCATCCGTGAGTTACATTCTAAATCGATTCTGCATTCTGCCTCCCCCTGGTCTCAGATCAGTCGATCTGGGGTCTTGAAGAGACGATCCCTAAAAACATTCATTCTCTATTTTAACTGACTGCGCTGTTTATTACCTTCGATCTGCTAGGCAATTACGTGATCTGTTGATATGTCCTACTCAAGCCCATCATGTTCAAACAGTCTCAGGTATGCCCAAATCCAAGTTGTACCAATTGGTTTTCTCTTGCTGTGAAAGGACTAATGACGTTTGCTTCGTATGTCATTTGCTTTGTTTTGTTTTGAAGGACATGGAGTCGATGCCCATGTTTTGGACATATACAGTTCAGTTACAGCTGCTCTCTTTCTGCGGATTTATGTGTAATAAACCTTATCGCATGGATCACTGCCGAATTTCCCACAGATGCGGCTCATGGATAACGCCACATCCTTTCATCCGAATTGCTTGGTTTCGGGGTCAGTTAAACTTTTTGAAAGTAGCCCTCATAAGCACCCCCCCCCCCCCCCAACCGCTTCTTTTTGTTCATGTTGGAAGTATCATTGAATTTTATCATTGATTTTCCAAGTTTTTATTATTGATTTTGTTATTCCTCAGTTGCGGTTATGTTGCGATCGGCGGAAGTTCTGCTGACCTGCTCATCAGATCAGTTGACATCCACTCTCGATGGGAGTTAAAAGTCTCTACCGGTCAATCAATCGTCAAGTAAGTCAGTGTTTTTGACTTAAAACATCAGTTCCTTTTCTCTTTCTTTTGTACAAACCCTGTTAGTCTGGATAACCTACAATGCTTGGCTTGCTTCCAACATCTAGCTCCGTTCACTTCTTTCAAGCTTCACCCCGTGGCAATCCTCAAGTTTTGGTTTGTAATAATGACCAGACCGTGCGTTCACCATCTTGTCCACTTTTTTTTTCCTTTTCGCTCGAACACTTGATTGAAATGGATGTCACTCATCTTCCATGCTTATAAACACTAGATTACTCAATATGACCTTTCCAGCGTCTCAACCATTCAAAATGCCGCATCGGAATCGTTATCCGTGGATCCTGCTCATCGCCCCACACCAGGCTCGAGATCTCGCGAAGCAGACGGCGACAATCTATTAGATCCCCCCGTCTCCACTGGTAACGAGAAACCGGTGTTAACACATAAGTCCAGCATCATTTTCCCGGTCCCAGTCAATCACTGCAGTGTTAGTCCAGACTCGAAAACGATGGTGGCGGTAGGTGACAGCAGTGAAGTGTTTATTTACGACTGTCAAAACGCACATCAATCCAATGAACCCTTAATTGGCGATTGGCGATTGGGCCCCCGAAAGATCTATCTTCCTGGAGTCTCCGCTCTCACTGGCAGCTTCAGTACGAGTTGGAATCAGTATGGAGATAAATTTGCAGTCGCAAGTGAAGGTGAAGTGGTTGTGGTCTATGATATGAAGATGCTTGGGAAGCCCCTTCTAGTGAAGCAAACCGCTCAAAAAGGAAGGCCTGGAGGCGCGAGAGTGGTCAAGTTCAGTCCTGCTGGTCCTAACGAGCTATTGGCATTCACTGAGGTCAGTCAACTCGCAAATATAAAAAAAATAAAAAAAATAAAAACCTAGAGCGGCTGATTTGAAATGAATTTGTTTTTTCAGCATCAATCTTTGGTTCATGTCTTGGATGCTCGGACCTTTGATCCAGATCATGAAGAAATATTGACAGTCCCGACACCCTTCCCCGGAATGACACCCTTCCCACCACGCCTATCACCTGGGTCCATCAGAACACATCAATCAACAAGCAGTCCAGCTCGGCCTTCCTCCCTTCTAGATCGCTCAAGTCTCATTTATGATGAAGAGAACGCTTCAAGCGCATCAAGACGAATGAGTGAGCTGCATGCTCAGCTGTCACGTGGAGCTAGAAGAAACTTTCGTCCAATCGAAATGGATCTTGATATCGAGCCAGAAGAGCATGAGCAGGACGATGAAGACAACCCAGATGCTGAACCGAACAGAAGGAACCGTCTTCGCCGACGAAACAGACAATCTGGGTCCCCGGCATCGAGGGAGGAGCCGATCACCGAAATGAGTTTTGCAGAACCAATGTTTGGAGAATTTTCTGGGAGGCGGAGCCCGGAACTCGATACTGTTGGGGAACGGATGTGGGGGGCTGCTGAAGAGCGGAATGATCTCAACCTGGGATCGTCACTGACAAGCCGAGGGAGTCAACTCTTTGGGACAGGTATCAGAGCAAGTCGGACGCAGAGAGGATATAGTTGGGCGGTGAGGTCACGACTGCAGCCTAATTTAGAGGATGACGATGCATGCTTAGAGGGTGAAGGAGGAGAACAAGGCTCGCAAGCAAGACCGAATAACTCATCATCACGAACAACTTCGGCGGGTACCAGGTTGGAATGGGGCCCACCTTCCACGTCCACGTCCTCGAGTCGACAGATTCAACTCAATGGATCATCGATCCGAGTCTTGAGTGTCGATGATGATCGCAGTAGTCGAGTGGACAACAATTCGACGAACACCCCCTCATCAACGACAGCTGCAATACTTCGGGCCCGGGTCCCAGCGGCCACGTCGATCGCACAAGCCCATTCGCAACTGATTGCCAACCGGCTCGGCCAAAACCCTCCCCCATTCTCGCGCTCGGAGGCATGGTTTGATCTGGACGGAGGAGGCCCGCCGGGGGCGATCCGCAACCGCTCAAACTCGCTCTACGGACTCATCTCGTCCTCTTACTCGGGCGTGAGGAGCGGGATGTGGGACGATCTTATCGGCTTGAGTTGGTCCCCTGATGGCGATTGGTTGGTCTCTGGGACCGAAGTCGCTCTCGTCGAATGGAAAGTCAAACGCTCTAGTCGCGCAGGTTTTGGTGACTCGAGATTGTGCTGATCTTCCTCTTTTCTTTATCAAACATTTTCCCTTCTTCCTTTCTCCCTCCCGCTCTCTCTCTCTCTCTCTTTCTCTTCTGCAGGCCTCTGTTTTTTTCTTTTCCTTTCTCTCTCTTCTCCAGCCCTCTTTTTTTTTCTCCCTCTTCTCCAGTTCTCTGTTTTTCGTTTCCTTGCTCCTTTTTTCAATTTCTGACAAATCACGCTTTTTTTGTTGGGGGTGTATCAAGCATACGTTTTTGATTCTGATTCTTGTGACCCATCCCCTTATTGGTTTGTTTTTTTGCATTAATGTATGTAAATATGTATTGTACAATCAATTGTTGATTCAAAAACACAAAAAAATAGGTTTACCATACGGCTTTTGTACTGAATTTTATATTTATCACATTTGATATTTGATCTGTCTTATATCTCAAGAAGAGTGCTTCACACCCAAGTGACTTCATCTCTAGATCCTCCCCCAGAGCCTCATTGGTGGGAAAAGGAAGCCTACAATGTTGCACCAATTGGGGGAAGGCAAACATGTAGTGCTCTACCTGGATGGCAGAGACGCTTAAAGCATATATCTTGGCCGGTACTAACCTGTTCCTTGGATGACTCCCAACTCCCACTACATTACCGTCAACATGACATGAAAAAAAAATTGGCCCAGAAGTTGGCTCAGTGCCTCCATACAGAACTGATTGGACAATGCCAGTCGGAGCACTAGTCAGACTGGCTTATCCAATAAGTTTCTTTTTTCGGTGGCACCAAAAAAACCTTCAATCAATCAGTCCTCTGGAAATTTGAATGATTTTGATGAAATTTTTTTAAAGCGGAATCAGGAGGACCAAGTTGACAACAAGCAAAGAAGAGAAGAGTTATTGGGTAAAACAACAATAATTTTGTAGGGTTTTTAATGGTAGATTGTTTTGAATGTGATGTAGAATTATCTGATTCTTCTTTAATCTGCTTTGTCAAGAGAAAACACTTCTGGAGAAGCTCCATATACATATTCACAATCAAGTTCAGATGGGTTCTCAGGAAGCTGTAAGACAGGTGGATCAGAATCCAATAATTCTTTCAAAACAGCAACAAGTTTTTCACTCAGAAAAGGAAAAGCATCTAAACCGTAGAAAGCCAGAGATGCCCGTCGACGTGTCTCTTCCTTTGAAAGCTGCCCCTCAGGTACGTGGGTGATTTTAGGCAGTGGTGTTGGTGTTTCTAGTGTTATGGATGTGGCAGAGCTAGTGGATTTCAGTTTCTTTGGGTGCGACCTGGGTTTCTTTGGTCTGAAGTCATTCAGACAGAAGTACAGGACAAGATCGGGGTTTCTTCCTTGAAGCTTCATTTTTGCATCTTTTGGCGTCCACTTTGAGGCTTGTTCTTTTATGTTATCGTTTTGCTTTAGATTTTTGACTTGGATACCACAAAATGTGACATTCCTCTCGTCCAGCGCTTCCGTGGGACTGGATTGAAGGTAAATTGTAAAAAGTTGATCAAACGAAGCCTGATTGGGTTTGCAATGGACCGCCAACCCTCTATATAATTTTCGTAACAGACCGGCTGATGTTGGTGTGTGATCGATGGAAATGAAGTGATTCCAGAAGACCTGTCCTCGAGTCAAAAGTTTCTCTTGATTTTCTTTGTCGATTGAACCTAGTTTCAAGTCGTTTTCGTTCCAGCCAGTTAAGGTCTGCAAGAAGTCTACCAACCGAACTGAATGCCCAAATGGCATCATGATGTTCTCTGAATGGGTCTCTGTGTCTGCAGCTGGTTGGGTCTTCTGCATGGTTTTTTGCATGGCCCGGAGTAGAATGATGCGACTGACTAGTTCACCGACATCACCTGGACCAATTAAACTTTGGCGGTTAATAGAGGCAAGGACTTGAATGCATCGGATTAGACTGGCTTCATCAGATGCCAGGTACTGATTGGCTGCCGAAGAAAGGGTGAATTGGGAGGGATATTGACTAGTGAGTATGAGTTGGGGGGTGCTGATGTTCATGCATGTCGATGCATGGCTTGAAACAAGCTTGGCCTCGAGATCTGAAGCTCTGTTCAGCCGTGGCTGTATGGTTGACCCAAGCAATGCCATTGCTTGTGCATTGGTCAAGGTGTCGGGTTTGCAATCCGTGGATAGAAGCTTTTGGAGAGCGTGTTCGGACAAGCCTTTGATGATGTCTCTGTCGGTAAGTCCTGTTTCCTTGCCCTCATCAGCATACACACGCCAAAAAGGAGAGCCGTAAGATAAGAGTCGAAATGCGGATTGCAATTGATGCCAATCTGCGGGCGGATCTGTAACGTTTACATCAAATGTTTTGATTTGGTAAATGGGATTGAAAAGCTTTTTAGGTATCTTCTTGTCGATCTCAAGTGACTGAGGATGGAAATTTGAAACACAGGAGTTGGTATCTGCAAGAACTGAAAAAAATCCGCTTGAATGGGATGGTATCCTCTCAAGAGCGCTACAGAAAATGTCGAAAAACGATGAATCCTGGGAAGGGCTACGTGCAAGTAATGCACTGGCTTCGTCAATCGCCAATAGCAATCTGAGGTTGTCTTGCTCTATAAAGTTGGTACTGTCCTTCATCCTCATTAATGCCTTTTTAAGTTGAACAGCCTTCTCGGTGGAAGTCAGAGGAGGCGATTTTGAGATCTTGTCCATCTTAGTCCGGACAGAACTCCAAAAGGGTGGATCGCCAGATTGATTGCTTTGTGGGAAGCTATGGGCAATCCATTGGTCCAGCCTCTCTTGTCTAGTCCCTGATTCTTTAGCAAAAAAGTAATCGGCCACGGCATCTAAGATGGCAAGAAGCAGATGCTCGTATTGAATTCGTAGATTCGTACGTTTGGAATCAAGAAGCACACTTGAAGCATATTCAGATCGCGGCGGATAGTCTTGTGAATCTTCAGGGCAGACACAGACATATACAACACATACATGCCTCGATAACTCCTTCAATAATCGTGATTTGCCAGTCATCGATGTTGCAATGAGTGAAGTATAAGGAGCCAAGTAGATTTCGGGTGTCCACTTAGCGGCGAATTCAGTAAGAGTCTTGAGCGTTGGATCCACTATGCCTTTGGTATTTATATATTCACGATTAAATCCTTTTTCGACAATTTTTCCCTGCAAGGGGTGAGCTGGTTGCTCAAAAAGCGTGTTGGCATCGTTCAACGACGGGGCGTCAAGCGCAGCGACTCTTCTATCATGATTGATTTTGGAATCCTGCGAAAGCATTGGATGCTGAAGTAAGAATGCAAGTCGGGAAGCTTTTTCGTGAAGGTCGGGGTATTCCTCGATGTCACACGCCAAAGTGATGTCTCGAAATGAATATTCTCTGTTGAGAAGTTTGGTCCAGACTTCTTTAAATCGGAAGCCTGGTGTTGACGCCCTTCCGTCCGTGGGTGTTTCCAACGTGTGTTTGAGTTCCTCCAGACCTTCAACATAAGTTCGGAAGACTTCATCTTTGAGGTTACAAATAGGGGAGGGGGGCATGATTAGCTAATATATAATCAGGATGAATTCAATAGTTACAAATACATACGGTCGGCAGTTTGCAGGAAATCTTCAGAATTTTCAACTGGTCCGTGGAGCTCTTCCAACCTTTTGTGTAGATCTTCAACATGGGTTTGGCCAACTTCAAATTTGAGATTACAAGGGGCCCGGGGAGGGGATGATTAGCACATAAGCAGGGGCAAGATTGGAATGAATAAATGAGCTGCAAAGACGTACAATTGACCATTTGGGGAACAACTTCAGAATCTTGAGCTTTTTTGTGAAGCTCTCTGGACCCATTGTTTGAAACTTGATTATCGGGCTGGTTTTGTGCATGTCTCAAGTTATTAACCGTTGAGATCAGCCGACGTGTAGGAAGGTGCAGGGTATCACCGGTTGAAACCAAGGATCTCCGAGATAATTTCAGATGAGCGAGACCGCGAAATGGAACCTGGACGGGTCCCATCTTTGGCATATATGCTATGACGTGTTGTGGTGGTAGGAGCGATAGGTATGATGGAATGAGATTTGTTAGAATCGGTCCGACTGTGCAAAATGGATATGTTTCTGAAAAATCAAACAAAAGAAATGGATAAGTGCGAACCTATAATGGAATGAAATTCGTTAGAATCGGTCCAACTAGCCAGTGGTGAAGTGACGAGAGCTGAGACAGCGGATATGGTGCCGAGGTGACCAGTGTGTGGTTCGTGAAGGATGAGGGAAGGAATGCCTTCACTATGTACTCGTCGGAGCAGTGCGGTCGATTCTCTCCCCCCGTGGGGTGGACCGGGTTCAGGAGAACTACAAGCTGAAACACCTACTAAAAAAATCCACGGAGAACCAACGTCCACAACGAACGAAACTAGTCAATGGCAAAGCAAACAACGATTGAACAACATCAGAGGTGTCTACAATCGTGATGGCCCTCGTCTTGACCTGGTCAATGTCCAATTCAATATATATGCCTCACTGTCCGTCATCCATCCTGCTGTAAAGCCCAAGATATCTGGGATGACTTGTAGCTTGTGATTTTCATTTTTCTTTAGCATGCTAGCTCAGAAGCGATCTCAGGTGCCAATGAAACATTAAGGCATACAACCCAAAACAGTGACAGTCGCCTGCCGACTCGTTCCAGCAATTGTAGAAATATAGTATAAAATAAATTGCATACAATATATGAGATGAGAAGAAGGGATACATGGTTTTTCATTGGGAGAAAACAAAAGGAACTATGACAGAATGAGAAGTCAGGATCGATCTGTGAAAGTTCTTCATCAGAATGGCTATCGGCTTCCTGTATCAAGGAGGAAAATCGAAAGAGACTTACAAATAATCAATCAGTTTCCCTGCGCTGCCGGTCCTCGGGCGCGATTTGCCCGGCTTCCGGCGTAGGGATCCGTGCGGCCCTGAGTCCTCTCGCGCCGTGAAGGGCCAACTTGGCTGACCGGGGCAGGAGCTGGGATGACTGAGGCAGGAGGCGGGATGAGCTGGGCAGGAAGGCTTTCAGTCTGGGGGACGACATCCTGAGAAGATTCAGCCGGTCGGGAAGGTGTGCCTCGTTGTGGCGAGTCACACAAGTTGCCTCGGCCGATTAGCGTGTAGACGCGTGGGTGGCGGGCGCCGGCGGGGTGAGCAGTGGGCAAGCAAAGCGCTTGGGATCGCAAGTCTTGGTGAGCCTTGGCCTTCGCCTCCCTGTCCACAAAAGGGAGCTTAACTCCTTGAGGCCTCGGATCCCCAAGCAGGGGGTTGGGCACTATTGGTTGGGCTGGCTGTGCTGGTGCCGGTGGGGCTGGGGCTGGAGCAGCTGGAGCTGGTTGGCGGTCCCGAGCATGGGATGAGCGCCGGCCCCGACGTCGAGATCGGCGCCCTTCCGTTGGAGCAGCCTGTGCAGTGTTGCGGGCGCCGGCCATAGACATATACATCTCTATACAAGATTTCAAAACAGAGATGGTTAAATT